TGTATGTCTTTGCTTCTTGTTCTTGTATATTGGATGTATGCCTTTTTCTCTTAGCACGATGATATACTACTAAACCAATCCAATAACTCCATGGTTCCATGTCTATAACCTGCATAGAACAAATTCAATAACACTTTAATAACATTGTAATAACACTTCAAATAATGTCTATGACAGTGTTATTGGGGGGGTTATTAAAGCTAGTTTACAAGGTTATTGAGTTCATTGCTGATCTCTTACTCTCAAATGAATCACTAAATACCTTAATATCATTGCTGCTGAGATCACTAACAACCATCGATTTGTCTTATTGACAAGTTATTGGGGGGTTAATGGAGTTGTTTGGCAGGGTTATTGATAGAAAATTGCAGCATTTTTTAAGTGGTTCTTCGTGAGGTGTTATTTAAGGGTTATTGTGGCATGTTATTGGAGACTTATTAGAGTTGTTCTACGAGGTTATTAAAGTGGAACCATAGAGGTTATTTGAGTGGTTTGTTGCACAGTGTTATTGGGGTTTATTAGGGGTTATTGCGGCGTTATTGAAGCGGTTATTTGAATTGTTCTGCTGACGTTATTGAAGCGGGATCGCGAAGTTATTGGAGCGGCTCACAGTAAGGTGTTATTGAAGGGTTATTGCGACATTAATGAAACAATTATTAAAATTGTTCTGTGGACATTATTGAAGTGGGACCGCAATGCTATTTGAGTGGTTCACCTTGTGGTGTTATTATAGAGTTATTGGAGGGTTATTGCAGACTTATTAGATTTTTTTCTGCGAGGGTTATTGAAGTGAAACCGCATAAGAGCGGTTCACCTTGATGTGTTATTGGGGGGTTATTGCGGAGTAATTGAAGCAGTTATTAGAATCTTTCTGTGGGGGTTAATGAAGCGGGACCACGACACTTAGAATTTTTCTGTGGGGGTTAATGAAGCGGGACCACGACACTATTGGAGTGGCTCATCGCGCGTTGTTATTAAAAGGTTATTGAGGGTTATTGCGGGCTTATTGGAGTTGTTATGTGGGGTTTATTACAGTGGAACTGCGAAGGTTATTGAAGTGGTTCATTGCGTGGTGTTATTGATTGATTATTGGAGGTTATTGTGGTGTTATTAGATTTGTTCTGTGGAGGTTATTGAACTGGAACCACAAAGGTTATTAGAGCAATTCACCACGCAATGTTATTGGGGGTTATTGCGGTGTTATTGAAGCAGCTATTCGAATTATTTTGTAGGGGTTAATGAAGCATGGTTGTGACGTTATTAGAGAGGTTCACCATGCGGTGTTATTGAAGGGTTATTGAGTGTTATTGCAAACTTATTAGAGTTATTCTGTGGGGGTTATTGAAGTGGTACCGTGGATGTTATTGAAGCGGTTCACCGCACGGTGTTATTGGGGGTTTATTGGGGGATTGTCGCGTCGTTATTAAAAATGTTCTATGGTGGTTACTTGAGTTGTTAGACGGGATTATTATTGCAAAACTATGGAGTTATGGAAGCGGTTCATTCTGCTGTGCTATTGAGGAGTTATTATGATGTTATTGAGGTGTTTTTGGAGATGTTTTGCAAGGGTCATTGATGCTGAACTACATATTTATTAAGGATCAGTTAATGAGAGTTATTGCAACATTATTAGGGGGTTATTGCAACCTTTTAGGAGCATTTACATTCATGCCAGTTTAGGATTATGACATCTAATGAAAGAAATTACATCACATTAGTTCTGTCACTCCTTATCCAGTTATTAGTCAGTTTGCAGATACTGGAGCTACAGTTGATCTAAATTATTTATACAATTTTGCAATTCTAAAATAAAACTGATGCAATTAAGCTATTATGGAAAACCAAATTTAAATAAAAATTGCATAAGTATTGTTAGTTCTAATATACTTATTTTTTGCACAGTATTCCACAAAAAAGTATAATGTAATTGAACATTTTGTGCTGAAAATTATATCTCTCCCATGGAATCTATCATCAATTCGGTATATGATTTTGTGGGTTGTAGTGTAAACCAATTATGCAGTGTTGGAATAATCATGAGTGAATGTTTATGGATAGGTAACATCACACAAAAACCAAGAACTAGAAAAGCAAAACCTAATGATGATCATTTTTCATTATATATCGACCCGTGTGAGAAAATCAGACATTGAACACATGTTTTGATCACATGAGATTGATTCTGGTTCTTGGCTAGTTGAAGCATCTTTTTTGCTTTCTTGTTTACTATGGTAAGTGTTAGAAAACTTTTTGTTAGCTAAAAAAAAAAACTCACATCGTAATAGAGGGAATATACCTTCTGCTCTTTTGTTTTTCTCTCAATATTTTTTTAACTTTAAATTAGATATTCCTTTAGGGCGCCTCTTGGCTGGGGCATTCAAGTTGGATTCATTATTCACTAGTTTTTTTATTTTTGGTTTTTAGCTGGATTAAGAGCCTCTCCAACTTACTATGTCATCAACATCCAATGAAATTTTTGCAATGAGTCCAACATGCATTGCTCAACTTCTTCATTCCCCTGGCTTTATTACTAATTTGATATGCAAATTTTTTAACATGTGTGTGAAATATGAAGACACTTTAATTATCATTCCACATTTGTGCCTCTTCGAGATGCTTATATCCATAACTGTTATAAACATCTCTTTTTTGCATTGACAGACCATCTCATTAGGAGATATTTATCGGTTATCTTCTTTATTTGTTCAAAGTTGAGCACTCATAAAGAGTGAGCATATAGTAGCACCGTCATTTGAAATTTTCTGTAGCTGCACTTAATCTCCGGATTAGATTTTTCAAAATTAACAACACAAGGTGTATTTGTCTGGTGATCATTTAAATACTTAATGAAATAATTAGAATCACAATTTTTAGAGAATTTTAATTGAAGGCCACATGATCCGAGTATTAAATCTTCCTTAGGTAAAATGAAGCTGTCTGCCTCAATATTGGGCTGCTTTTGGCGACATGAGTAATTACAGATTGATCACACTTGAAATCCTTGTCCTTCTCTTTCCACCTCCATATTCTCATGACATATTCAAGGCCCAAAAAAATAATTGGTAATATAACTTGTGGACTTTGAGACACCATGACAAATATTATTGGTGGATTCACTTCTTTGGGTCAATAAAATTCCCATTCAAAAAATTTCTTATTAAAAGCTATAGACCACTTATGTGTAATGTTATACATATCATCTAGCCACACACTGTCGTGTAGATTTTCTTTCTCAATATCACCCCCAGGTATTTTCAAGCTCCTCTTCATATTCGCATTTGCTCATACAATTATAGAAAAGATTGGTTACTGTCTTATTCCCCACTCCACAGTGAACCTTTGACAGACATTTCTTGTATATATGTCACTGACATAATCTGTCGTGTATTTAACAAGATATCTTTTATGGCTCTAGTCATTGACTGAACCTGATCAGTGTAGATTGTTATTAGATGCTTGTCATCCATGAAATAGATAAAAGTTTTAAATAACCATTTAAACGAATCAATTGTCTCATCTGACAAGAATCCGACTCCAAAGAGAATATTTTGCTAATGGAGGTTAACACCAACAAAAGGAGCACAACATAAATTATATTTATTTAATCTATAATTGGTATAAAAAATAATGACATCACTAAAACAGTCATAATCAAGCCTAGATGTGGCATCACTCCAAAAAAAACTCATTAGCTTACCTCTTTTATTACTTTTGAAGTTCCACGCAAACATACTATCCTCGACCCATTTCTTTGTGAACAACGACAATAGAAAATTGGCATCGCCAATTTCAAATCAAAATAATTTCTCTCTTTAAATGAAATTGAAGGCATCTTGCTTCGTACATTCCAGGTTCTCCACTCCCAACTTCTGTAACAAGAAAGTTAAATGCATATGCATCTTTTATATATATTTGTGTCATTGATCTGAGCACATTTGCATTAATTTCACTTTTTTTTTGCTAGAATGCAAAATGTGCTTACCTAAATGAAACCCTAAAAACACCTCATAAAAAACTCAAAAACCACTAAACCTTAACAATAACTACAACCTAAAACTACAATAACAACCAAATATAACACCTCAAAAACTACTTAAAAAATCCTACAAAAAAAAGAATTAAAACTCACCTCAATTTCCATCTCATGTGTTTCTCTGTTGCAAGATAATTCTCCTCCATTTCACTATTTTTATAGTCCAACCTCAAAAATAGTCCAACCTCAAAAGGTCATCATGTCGGTTGGAAGATAAAATGACGTCGAAAAAATGGAGTGTGAAAAACTAAACCCTAGCACCTGGAAAGCAGTCGTCCCACTGAAAATTATTCGCATATCTTCAGCGCAAAAGTTTTACCTTTTAGAATAGAAAAGGTTAGAGCTGAGTTAGGTGTAAAAAAAATTATTTTTTTAATATTTTATGAGGTGGGCCCGGTGTAGACACGTGATGACATATTACTAGAGTCCGCACGCAAAACTACGTGCAGACTTTGTATGAAAAAAATTTTCCATCGTGGGAGTCTTCTTTGAGAGAAATATTTGTGTACGTAAGCGTACGCAGCACCGCGTACGTAAAGTAGGTTATATGGTAGGTTATAGGGAGGGTATTGAGGGTTATATCCGCGTTATACTTCTGTAACCTCTCTGTAACCTACATGCAACTTAGAAATATACGAAAATAAAAGCACGAAACTTATTAGTTACAGGTAGATTACAAGTAGATTACAGGGAGGTTACAAGGGGGTATAATGCGAATATAACCCCCAATACCCCCCCTGTAACCTAGACTTACTAGACGTACACAGGCGTACATCTTACGTACGCAAATATTTCTCCTTTTTTGAACCCATAACAAATAAATCCAATGTTGTGATCTTGTCAAGATAAGAATAGGAGATGAATTTGTTGAAGTTGGGGCTCCAAATTTGACTATTGAATTTATTATTCAAAATACATCAAAATTGTGCAGGTGATTTTTTGGCTGATTATGTCAAGGAAAAATAAGATAAAAAGAAAAAAAACGGCATCAAGCTCTAAGCTCAATTGCTCATGGTGGACGCCGTAACAGACCGACAGATCATCGCCGGCCATGCTCCGGCAGTCGAGATGCAGAGTTAAAAAGTATGTGATATTTTGAAACTCAACATTAGCACCTAATAAATGACAGGAAAAGAAGTGGCCGTTGATGCTACCGTGATCGCTACGTGTACGGCAGATCGTAGATCGTACTAACAGTTCGATGATCGATGGTGCTCTTCGGCCCTCTGTCTTCCATCTTCCGCAGCGAGCTTTTCCGACAGTGACGAGAGGTTGAGAGAGGAATAGAAACGAGCGATAAAGAGGGAGATATTGATTCGAGAGGGATAGAAGTTCTCGGAATTACAAAGTTTTGATGCCCGCTTAGAAGAAATGAATTTCATGGCAGTGGCGCCGGTGCTCACGCCTGAGGAGGAGAGGACCCTCATCAGGGATATCAGTGCCGCCGCTGAGGCTCAAACCAAGGAGGGCGACAACTTTTACCTTATCACCAGCAGGTTGTCCTAAATCAAATTGGCTTTTGCTCTGAAGCGTTTTCGGCGTCATAAATCATTACTTTCTTGAATCTCTCCTCTCTTGCTTTTGAACCGTCTTCAAAACCGTAACGTTCTGAATTGTTATGAGCATTGCTGATATTTGAGTTAATGTTTGATGTATATTTCTATTTAGCTAATTGGTGTCTCTGGTCATTTGTTTCAATTTATTTTAATAATCAAGACCATCTTCTGTTGATTTGTTGTGGATCGGTGATTCTGAAGTTTGACTGGTAGCACTCGAAGCTTACTAGTTTCTTTTATTTATCCATGTATTTTGTTTCGAGAATTGAACTGTAAGATCTAATCTCTAATTCATATTAAATAAATTGTCAAGATTTATCTGTCTTACGCGGTGGATTTAGTGTAATGTTAACAGCCTGCAAATCAATCATTATGCTGCTATGCATGCCACATTAATCTCGAGGAGGCACTTTTTGGAGCATTCTTTATGGGAAAACAATAAGCAGCAAGTGTATTATGATGATGTTATTGTTGTAGTGATAAGAAGGAATCAGGTTTTGGCCGGCGTTTCAGCTTTGATAAGGTTGTAATCTTCACATGTTAGTACCAGAAAGGTGATAAAGTGAATAAAGAATGCACAGCTTTTCAAAAGTGTGCATGTTTTTATGAGCAAGTTTACTGAAGAAACTGAAGAAACCTCTTTAGAGAAAAAAAAAAAAAACTTCATAGTAGCCTTCATTATTATAGCTTTTACACAACAATCCTTGTGCTAGTTCATGTAATCAAAGTTAAGTTTAACTGGCATAAATATCAAGCCGCAGTATTACGGAATTCTTAAAAAAATTATAGCGAAAATATGGCAAAAATGTTAAACTTGCCAGAGTTTATGATAATTTAACAAAATCTGAATATGAACTACTAGCGGTTATGTGAAGAACTTGATTAAAATAATTTTCTGACATGGAAATTGTCCTTGTGACAAATTTTCATAGAAATGGAAATTAACTCGTCGTCCCTTTAGATGAGGACAATTGATTTGACTCGCTCTTTATCATGGTTGCAGGGGTACACCTTGCACTTTAAGATGAGTTCAGCCTAAACTAATGCTTTAAGAAAGCAAAGGTTGTATGTTAGCTTTATAGATTGAAATTAGCAAAGAATTCAGAAAATAAATTGAGAAACTTAGAACCCATGCAACGAGCAATTAAAAACGAGCCAAAGAAATTCCAAGATTGCACAGGAAAAACTAAGATCTTATATTATAATTATTAGATAAGAGAGCCACGAATAATCCCATAGGTTAGTTTTATGTTGCACATATGCTTACAATCCACATGATGCATTGAGATATTCAAACCCCAAATGCCGTGATTCATGGCCATTTTATTGGTTTGCTAATGATTAGGCTTTTGGGATGACATGGGTATGCTGAGGCATACCTGTCCTCTACGAGAGCTGGCATGTTTGCAAGGAATCTTTAAAAGCATATGTGAGATTCATTAGATAGGACAACCACAACACAAACATAGGTTTGTTTTTATGTTGCACCTCTCTTTACAATCCATTTTATGCATAGAGAAATTTGAAACACTAACATTATGATTCTTGGTCATTTTATTTGTTGCCAATGACCAGACTTTAGAAATGTCAATGCACATTTTGAGGCATATTTGGCCTCTGCGTGGGCTTGTATGTTTTCAAGAAATCTTTACAAGCATATGCGAGCTTTATTAGATAGGATAACCACGAACAATCCCAATGGTTTGTTTTATGTTGCACCTCTTTTTACAATCCACTCGATGCATAGAGAGTTTCGGAACCTCCTAATTCTTTCACATGGATGTTGCCCTCATATTAAATGTTCATAGAATAGAACATAAATTTGTTGAACCCTTAAATGAGGCCATTTGATTTGATTTCCTCTCTATCACAATTTGAGCATCACAACTTACCCTTTAGGTGAGTTCAGCATAAACTAATGGTTTAAGAAAGCAAAGATTTTATGTGAGCTTTACAGATTGAAATTGACCAAGACCTTTTAAATAAATTGAGAAAATCAATATATATGCATTGAGCAAGTAAACACGAGCCAAAGCAATTCCTAGATTGCAGAGGAAAGTGAAAATTTTAAGTGAGATTTATTAGATTGGATGAATTTATTACATTGGAGAGTCATTAAGCATCCCATAGTTTAGTTTTATGCCATCCACTTGATGCATCTAGAGATTCAAAACTCCAACACCATGATTCATGGCCATTTTATTTGTTTGCAAACGATCAGGCTTTTGAGATGACAATACACATGTTGAGGTGCATTTAGCTTCTACAGAATTTTTTCTTAATCTTCCGGCAATTAATTCTAGGAAAATTTACCCGATGCAACTTGCACACTTATAAAGCTATTGTCCAATTAAAAATTATCAACTGAACGCGTGTATTTGCGTATGCCATGGCTAACTTGTTGAGGATATAATGAAAGTGAAACATGTTGGTTAGGGTCTAGTTGTGCTCTTCGAGATTTGGATAATTGTGCAAATAAGCAGATATTAGGTGCTAGCGTGCTACACATGTAAATGCCTCTTAATTTTAATTCCAATAACTATTCTATAATGAATATCCTTAGTATTATTAGTATACACTTGATATACTCTTCTCCTTAATACCTATTAAATCACTTAATTTTACTTGATCACATGTCTTTTCAAGCTTAGCAATAATATGATGATTTAATGGTTGCTCTTATATTTTTTCCATTAATGTTTTAAGTTGAAAATTTACCCACAATGTATTTTCTTGGTAAAAGCAAATTGCTTTTCTAATTTTGTCATGATTTGTTTGAGTCCAGGCTTTATACATCTCTCACATATAAATTTGCTGAGTGATTTATAGGTGATTTATAGGTTTTTTTTTTTTCATTTTGTAGTTATCATAGTTATGAATCTTGTTTATTCTTTAAATCTTGAACCAAAATTTTTCCTCTCAAATTATTGGTTTTTTTTTAGCTTTAAGTTTGATTGAAAAGATTTCTGAAGTTCATCATTTATTAAGAAATTTTTATATGGACAGCTTTATAAAATTTCTTTAAAGTTATATTTTTTTTATTTTTTTGGACCAACTATAATATACACAATGAATATGCATCTTTTGGCTGTTTTATCATGTTTTTTGTTTATTTTATGGTATCTTATTTTAAACTAAGAACTAACCAAGTTATTTGAAACTTTTGCTTTGATCACTAATCTTTTCACAAAGATTTAAGCTTTCTTATCATTATCAATGTTATTATTTTTTAATTATTAAAATGTACATTCAGGGTCCATTATCAATTCATGTTACTATTCTATTATACTGTCTTAGAACTTTAAAGAGATTCTTCTTAATTCAGCTAACCATTTTTTCCATCGTTTGGCTTTGCTCCAATTTACAATAACTCGTTTTGGATTATTAACAGTTTCCATTCTTTTATGGTGCATAACCTTATCCGATGTTAGTTTTTTCTTCACACGTCAATGAGTTAATTTACATGTGATACTTTATACTATGTTCAAAGTGTTTAAATTTTGTTTTTGAGTTGCTTTGCAATCAATAATTTTTTTCTTTCTTATGCTCTTCTCGTTTTCAAATCATTTGCTACTTTAGATTTAAGTTTAGCCTTAGCAATTTTTATTTCATTTTCAAACACGATATAAATCCTTTTATACCCTATCCTACTAGAATCAAAATATTTTTTTGACCACCACCAATTACCATTTCTTTTTCTTGAAATATATAATGCAGTACTCTATTGATTTTTATTGTTGTATTTTTATAAATTTCTTTTATTTAACTTGAGGTGCATAAGCACTAACAATCTTTATGAAGAATAAGCTTGCTACATATATAATGCTTACTTTAGGAAATCTTCCAAAAAGTACAAGAACTTATACCATCCGACATTTGATGAGTAGCAGTTAGAAGTCCCGAAACAAAAGCCATAATTATAAATCTGAGTTTCTCTATGGAGGATGGTGTCCATAGATACCATTATTCTGGCTCCACTCTTGTGTTTTTGGGAAATTAACAAATACTTAAGTGAACTTTGTTCAAGTAGAGTCCAAAAACAACTTTTTAGGTCATATGCGGTATCTTTTCCTAAATGTCTGCTCTGTCTCATGGAACGACCAAAGTAACTCTTATTATAAGGAATAGGGTGGAATGCATAATTAGCTACTCCATGACAAAAACCTATCGTAAACATGATTCTCAAATAAAATTGAAGTGTTATTTTGTAGGATTTATTTCTTAAGGGAGTTAAAAGGTCGCTTGCTCCTGCAATCCTAGCTTTATTCTTTAGATAAAAGGTAAGTTTTACATAGACCTCACTCCCTTGGCACGATACTAATGCTACTTCCTATTAGAACTTCAATGATGTTATACACATCATTTGTGTTGAGTACATGATTTTCTTGGAATAGAAAATGTCTTTAATGTTTGAAAGCTTGATTAGAACTCCATGTCATATTTTGAATAATTAAATTTGCATGATTCAATACGACGTAGCTCTCACTGCCGTTGTCGGTCCCAAGCCCGGATGCGAAAAGTTGAGGGTTGTGTTAGGTAGTCGACAACCAGCGTAAAACTTGTCGAAAAAATCATGACATAAATTCTTTTGATCATTGTGTAAGTGTTAGGGCGTCCCCTGAAAGCGACGCGCTGTATAACTTGAATATAGTAAAAAATGTGCAAGGGCAGCTACACCGACGCCCGGGTGGTGTCAAATAAGCAAGAGTTCCCACATTACGGATGAATGCTGGTAAAAAAATTAGTCTATGAAACTAATGAAACTAATATTAGGATATGATCATGGAATATAGGTACCTCAATGGTAAATTAATGAAATTAGTTGATAGTATGATTCATAGAAAAATTAATATCTTATGTATTCAAGAAAGTAAATGGGTTGGAGAAAAGGCTAAGGAGATTGATAATTTAGGTTTTAAACTTTGATATTCTGGTAAGAA